TAATCTCTGCATTTTTATGTAGGAAATATATTTTAAACATTGAATACATGAGATCTAAAAATATCTTTCCATTTGGTGACAAAATCCTAATGGCAGCCCTTCAACTAACTGTTGTAATAAGCATATTAGTGAGAAGAATAATAAATTATGAAGGGCAAATCATACTTATTTCAGACCAGATATGTTATTAAGACAGTATATGGATCCACACAGAACATATTTTTGTGTCCTTTCATTACCAGAAAAATAAAGGTGCGCCCAAAAAATCCATAACTTGATTTTAACAGCTTATTTCCTTGACAGTCACAGAACTAAATTAATTTCCACTGTAATTCTACTGACATCAATGAAATTAGTTCAAGAATTCATACTGTGAATTTCACTTATTATTTTCTTTTAATTATACTTTATACAGAAAAATAGAAACAGTCAAGGAATCCCAAGGGATTTCTAGAAATTGTCAGTGAAATGCTATCTGCTTTCATAGAGAAAGAAAAATTCCATTGCGATACATACTTCTTTGGTACCTGTATTATGCTGTTTTAATTATCTGGAGGATAGACTCTTCGCAGGAATAAATAGTTTATAGAATTACAACAAATACACATGCAGTGTACCTCAAACAGAGCAAGCCTTTAAAAGATACAGAATGGGACAACTAATTAGTTCAGGGGCAAGGCCCCAATTTCATTAAGTCCATTGGAAAAATGACACTGACATCAGTGGATCAAGATCTGGTTTAAGATTTTCTCAGAAGTCCATGAGCATTTTGCATTCAGTGCTAAGTGGTATAGAAACATGTACCTTGTGTGCGGAGAGGCCCTTCCCTCTTGAATAGCTGCTGTTGGTCCCATCTGACATTACAGTGATGATTGCAGTGATGAAGGTCCCATGGCTTGGAGAAATCAAACAGAAGTCCTCCAGGTTGTTCCTTGAAGATCTTGAACATCACTTGCCAGTCGGGGAAGCATATTTGTGAGTGGCATCCATGGACGTGAATGTTTGGTGCCAGGTCGCACATTCTTACAGCTAGTCAATTCAAGTGCAGTGTCTCCTTTCTTACACCGATTAATGTATTATTTAAGGTCACTTGCTGGAGCATGACTTAGCTCCTGTGTTGTTCACCTATAGGAGTATTACCAAGCCTTTGTATTTTTTGCATCCATTGTGTATGTTTTCTGCAGCAGGGTGACTGGCCTTACATGTTTCCTCTTCCTGTGAGACACCGTCTGGCTAACACTGAAGGCAGAAACCAGTCAGAAAATAAGCAGGCTTAGGATCTCTGAAACTAGGGGGAGAAAAGTCAGAATCTGAAGAAGAGTGAGGATGGATGAATAATAAATGTTATACAGAGTAGTGCTGACAGCTGGGTGAAGCAAGTTTCAAGCAGAAGGAGTTATTGTTGTTTAAAGTGTGAGATTAATGCCTTTACTACCAATGATGTATACTGTGACTTTATGTAGTATATTCTTCTGTTCTGTTCTGAGGAAAAGTATCAATCCTGAAGTGACAGCAAACAAGCTAATCTTATATGAGGAAGGTAGAGAAAGCTTTTTACATACCAATTAAACCATTTTGCTCACAAATACACCTTTTATAACACTCTGCAGCATTATCTCTTCCTGATGCTTTCTCTGTGATTTTACATGGTTGCACTGGAGTTATCCATGGTCATCCTCCTGCTGTGTTCCCGGCATTCACTGACGACTGCAGCAGAATGGGTTTGAGGTGTGGACGTAGGATGCTGGAAGAAAAAACTCAAATGGAAACACTGTAAGTCTCAACATTTCTCAAGCATCAGCTCTATACAGCTTATGAATTGGGAAGATAGCCATGATTTTAGACTAGGCTTAAAATCTTTCAGACTGCAACACGCTATTCATCTGGGTGCAGAATTTCAGACAGGGTGAAACCAACATTTAAGAGGTAACTAAATCTGCCTTTTCCAGCAGCTGTTTTTCTGGATGGTACACATAATGATTTAGAATTACAATAATTCAGTTTGGAGGGGACCTCAGGTGGTCATCCTGTCTGACTTGCTGCTCAGCGTAGGTGGCTCAGGGCTTTGGCCAGTTTGATCTTGAAAATCTCCAAGGATGGAGGTGGCACAATCTTTCTGGGCAACCTGTTCCACTGCCTGATTATCCTAATCGAGAAAAAGGTTTTCCTAATATCCAGTAAAAATCTTTCTTCTTTCATCTCCTGTTTGTTGTCCCTTGTCCTCCCATCGTGCCCCACGGTGTGAAGATCCTGGCTCCATCTTCTCAGCTGCCTCCCAATGGGTGCTGGCAGGCTTCTATTAGGTCCCCCCAAAGTCTTCCCTTCTCCAGGCTGAACAAGCTGTGCTCCCTCAGCCTCTCCCCACAGGACAGGCTCTCCAGCCCTCCCTAACCATCTTGGTGGCCCTTCACTGAGCTCACTCCAATTTATTTTGTACTGGGGATCCAAAACTGTATGCAGTGTTCCAGATGTGGACTAATGAGCATTGAGCAGAGGGAGATGATAACTTCTCTGCAACTACTGGCTGTGTTCTGTTAATATAGCTCAGGATGCAGTTGGCCACCTTTGCTGCCAGGGCTGATGTTCTTTGCTGCTGGCTGATGCTTGGCTTGCCGACCCCCAGGACCGTCAGAGTCTTTTCCACAGAGCTGTGCCCCAGCCAAGGGGATGCCACTTTGTTCTGGCTTTACCTGTTCCACTCACCATTACCTCTTCTATTGACACGGTCACAGAGTCTGAAGGTTCCACCTTGTACTGCAGATGGATGGAACAAAGGGGGTTTCTTCTCAGAAAGGGTGAGATAGTCTAGGGCTGCGGTTATTGCAAGATGAGCTGCAGCCTTTGTGTAATGGATGCAGCAGAAGTACATGCATCGTATGCGTTAGGTCTATAAACAAGATGCCTGTGTTTCCCTTGTAGTGAATGAAGAGAGGCAGGCTTCTTTTTCAGTGAGACAGGTGTGAGGCAGTGGCTGTCCTAACAATTTCCCTCAGCAGTCACTTTGGTCCCATCATTGGTTCTTCCTGAGCTGAGAAGTTGTCTGAGAATCTCAATTTCACACCCTTGTTGCACGTTGTGGAATCTGAAATCACTGATGAATGATTATCACTTCCAGTCGTTTTATCCGTCTTCATTTTTGTACAATTATTTGTTTTTCTTTGCTTGTCTTTTTGCCCTTTCAGATGAAAATGACACTTGACAGCCAGAATGACCACTCTGTGCTACGGAAATGAACTAGAAAGTGATACTGAGAAACAAGATGTTTGCGTGAGCATATTTGTAGAGGATTAGGCTTTTGGTGGGTGGAATGTGCCTGTTGCAAAGATTCTGTGGTAAAATTTACTGGAGCATAACATTGGGGATTTGAAAGACACGGATAAGCCAAACCAACATATGTGTTTGCACTGTTTAGAGTGGCATTTACAATACAGGGTGGTAAACCAACCTCATTTCAAAACAAACCAATTCTCCAGGCACTGTGTAGATCAGCAGGAAATTGAAGCCTATGCTCAGAAAAAGGCCAGAAGAGAAACTATTACAGTTTGATGGACAATGCAGCACTGCACTAGGGTCACGACAGGAGGGGATAAGGTGGGAAAAGCTGGAAGAAAGTCAATGTAATTAAAGATCAGAGAAGGAAGAGCGGTGCAATTGCCTTTAGATCCTGTGTTAAAATTTTTCCACTACTAAAAATGTATTTTTCAGTAATATCACATTGAAACCAGTGACTGTGGTTTACTGTGGTGACAAAAATTTATTTCCTTTATTCAAATTATTTCCTGACAAAAATAAGGTGTTTTCTGTCGATGTTACAGTAACCAAAGAATAAGTCAGCTCTGGAGTGGCACTTAACCTAGTATGATGTCAGCATGTGTCACCTCAGCTCAAACCAAGTGTGGTGAGAATCAGGTGTCGCTGTAATGTATTTAATTAGGCTGACATAATTTGGAATAATACATTGGCATCAGAGTAGCTGTTTAACTGCAGTGTTATTAAAAAATTCTGTAGTCATTCAGTATGCCAGAGCTTTATACCGCACATTCATATTCTCAGAGATACTATTAAATTTAACAGTGGTTAATTTCCCTGTAGTTTGAAATAATATAGATAGTCTGCACTTTTTCTAAAAACTATACATGAAATTACTTAAACCTGTCATTCAAATACCTTTTTAAACATCCACAAAGCCAACAGTTGTATCCAGTCTGTGCCCAGTTTGGGGGCATGTGTACTTGCCCATAAGATTGTGTGGTAGCATCTGTGCATGGACATTTAGGCCAAAAGTTTTAAACCAGAAGAAATTGCAAAAGAAGGTGTTGAGAGACCTGAACTTTGGAAACAAGGCTAGTAGATATCTGAATAAGTACTGACTTGTGAGTTGACCTTCTGACTCTTCCTGCATGTTGTTAGAAAATGGTTTATTGCTGGCGTTTCAATAGCCATGAATTGTAATTAATTCCAAAGCGCAACAGAACGTCCATGCACAAAAAGCGAGTTTATTTTGCAATGATAAATAAAGTGAACAGCTACTTCACGCTGGTAATTATGTGGCACTGAAAGCCTAGGAAGATAGAATGTTGATTTCCCAGCACGATTATTTTCTTTCAGAACCACTATTTTATTTCTCTTTTTCACTGTTTCTAATCTCCCAAATTGTTTTTTTAATGACGCAGCTTACGCACATGTAATGCTTTTCATTCAGAACAATGCCAAAGTGCTATACAGACTCTGTATTGTATTAGTGAAGCTTCACAACAAATGCATTTTTCTCTATTAGCACTCTCTAGAAAGAAAAGGACCCTGTGCACATGACAGAAAGTATGTCAAGAAGACAAGGGCATGTATATTCACATATGGTATAAATTGCTAGATTGAAAGTGAAGATTAATGTAGAACCTCCAATACTGTGTGAATTCATTTTCCTTTGAATAGTTGAAGTATTATAATGCATATTAGTTAAGGTTTCCTTAGTAGGATAATCAGTAGATATTCCGGGCTTCTCTAAGTTATGGAAGAGAATGAAGCAGGAAATGTAAGATGTACTATAAAAAAAGGAAAAATGTCTTTCTGAATTTAGTCTCACCGTATAGAGTTTTCATTTCCATTTTGCTTCTTTTGGGTTATTTGATAAATAGATGTCTACAACTCTCCTCATTTTTCTGTAATGGGGAAAAAAGCACAGATTTTTTTTTTTTGTGATTGTTTTGTAAGTGTAACCATTAATGAGTGCTTTTTGTTTTGCACTTAACATCCAAAACATTGTAGTAGCATGTACATTGTGGAACTTTAAAAACATATGGTATTACATATAGGTAAGGCTTGTATTTGACTTAAGTATTACCTATATTTTCTCATAATTATTTATGAACCTTTCCCTTGATAAGTCCTCTGGGATATAAACCAGCTGAACTTTTCAGCTATTTATTGTCTCTGTGGGGCTTTAAATAAAATTTCTGCATAATTGTCTCCAATTTGAGGGAATTTCAGTTCTAACTTTGACCCTAACATTTCAGCAAGGTCTAAGCCAGTTTGATTTTCCATCTCCATAATTACAGTATTAAAAATACAGCTCTATATCCTTGTAATGATGTGAAATTCTTCCTTCGTTGCTTGAGTCTTAAGTAACAAAGCTTTTTGTAAAAGCTCTGCTTTGGTAGGAACCACTGAAGAGACCTGCCCTTTCCAAAACTGTGGGGACCCAAAAGTGTACTGCATCTGCAACTTCCATTTCAGCAAACAACAAAAAAAATGGTGCACACTGTATCTCAGACTCCTCTTTGAAAGGATTTCTGAGCCTCGGGTCTGTTTGGGCGTCAAGTCTACCAGTTCTTCCATACCTCTTGTGTCTGTCCCTGTGCCATCATGTGCTTCTGAGTCCTGGTTGTTACATGAATAACACATTTCCACACACTCACTGGGACACATCATAGATTTAAACAGGATCTTAACAACAGCCCCTCCATTCATGCTGGAATGAATTTTCCCAGCAATGCCCACTGCTAGGCAAAGCTCTGAACTCCTTATGCACAGTGGTAGTCCTACTGACACAAATACAAGGTCAGGCATTCAGCATTGTTTCCTCTTCCCCCATGAGCAGAAGTGCTCAGTGGTATAAATTTAAATTCCCTGTCACAAGTGTGACAAAAGTGGACCTACTGTACTGTTCTCTGCCTTGTGATTTTGATTATTTGCTCAAAACTCTGGTGACCTTTGCAAGGGTAAGAAGGTGCTCTACCATGACACAATGGCAGTCATCACCATCATCCTGCTTAGTGGTTTGCCTGGAAATTGCTTGCAGTTTAGAAAAGCTTTCCTTTTAATTTAGTGCATATGTGAAATAAATTATACTATGGAATGGTGCTGTCAAATATTTATTTAGTATCTCAGTACTTGAACTCACTTGCCAATCAGATAAAATTAGTTTTGAATTCTTTTATACTGACATCATTTTCCTAACTTACAAATTCACTCTCAGACACAGAAGTAACGAATGTTTGCATTGGCCTGTTGTGAATAGCAGCAATGTTTAGGAATTTTAATGTACAGCTTAGTGTTTTCATAATGTCACTGTGAATCAGTGCTTAATTTTAGCTAGAGACAACTTTGTCCTTAAACTACTTACTTCGTGTATTTTCCTATTTTCTAATTCAGCCTGAGTGTTAACATTGGCTCCTTTTAGATGATTTGCATAGAGTTTCAAAGGCATAGGATTTCCCAAGACATTACTAAGCAGCAACAGTGGCTGCAAAGCCAAGTGTATATTGCTGGGTCAACAAGATTGGCTTTTAACAATCAAATAGGAAACATAATTGAGAATAATGACTAGTATTTTGAGAATTGTTTTACTGTATGTGTTACTGTGCCAAAATCTTTCCACATAATCCTGATTATTATCTCTCATAAAAATAGCATATTAACTTGTGAAGTTTATGAAAATAAGGCCTGCTCTAAAATGTGTTGAAATCAGTGCAACTAGTTTAAAAATAGTTTTTCTTCTCTGATACTTGCTTCATATAGAATGATAAGTTGTTGTGTTATGATTTAAGCACTTAGCTGGAAATTTTGTACAGAATTAAGTTAACTGTGTAGTTAGTACACAGTAGCATCTTATTTGGATTCATTTTATATTGCTAGAGGTTGGTCAGAATCCAAAAACTAAACACAGACAAAAATTAATCTACATGGTTTTGCTGAATTTGCTTGCTGAAGTGTAGTAAATCTTGAAAACAGAAGAGGTTTAATAACATTGTATTCCCACTATGTATTTACCTTTTTTGTTTGTGTTTGGCATGACTGAGAATTTCATCACTGTCAATTTTCCGTCAAAGAATAGAACATATTTGAATAAACTTTGCATGGCCAGTGTAAAAAAAAAAAAAAAAGAAAATGGTGCATGAAATGATGGGGAACAATTAACTTTGAGTCTCCAGTTTTCCAGGTTTCTGGTTGGATTTTGTTTCTTAAAATCTTGACTGCTTGGCTGCGTTACTGATGCCTACATCACTAGTAAGGGATCACCAAAGCAGCTGGGTTCTTGGGAGTGCTGGTGGAAATGTTACTGAAACCATTAGTGGTGAACAGTAGAAACACAGGAAGGTGAAAACGTCTCTGCTCCTTGTCTGCCAGGAGAGAAAGATAATCTCTTGTTATGTATGCAGACTTCCAAGGGTAAAACTTGAAGAATTAGGTTAATTGGGCTAATAGGGGTAAAAAAGATTACTTTCTTAAACATTGTCATTTTTTAGGAAGAGGCATCACAACAAATCCGTAATTCTAGTGGTTGTTTTACTCTTGATCGATTGAAAGCCCTAACTGTGCTTTTATAAGGACTGCTTCTGTTTAACTGAGCCATATCAGCTTTTTCCTAGAAGTTACAATGGAAACAGCGATTAGATATAACCATATACAGTGTAACTTGGTAATAGAGCCCAGGTTCTGTGGGGTCATTTACATCTGTGATCATATAGAACAGCCTGTTATGGGATTATCCAAGAACAGAGTGAGCTCAGGCTGAAGAAATCCCAAAGAGTACTTCTGTACTCAGAATTTCTCAATCATTACCAAGTATGCAGCTTTTTTTTTTGGTTTGTTTTTTTTTTTTTTCACATCGTGTTATGCACAACCAGACCATAGAAAGTATCACTTCCACCATTTACAGTGAAGAAGGCCAAGGAAAAAAGGCTGAGGAATCAAGGATCTTAAACTGTGGTGTGTGGATGGACTGCAGAGCTTTTTCTTGTGGTTCATTGAAAAAAAAATGTTTTAGAAGTATAACATGGTAGATTAAGCTACCGGTACCGGAAGAGAACAGGGTCTGCGAATAGATATTTTCCTTACAAAGTGGTCTGCTGACTGCAAATCTGGAGCACCATCAGAGTTCAACTAATTGAGCCAGACAGCTTGTTAGACTGTCTTATAAAAGCTGGATGTCTGGCTAGATAGCTTTTGGCACTTTGAAGAATAGAGAGGCAGATTTATGAACTGGACAAATGAGCATTACAGTCAGGAATTTTTCTAACAGTTTGGCTGTATCTCTGAGACCTTTTGACTTTCAGAAAGATGCTGCTTCAAAAGCCAGTTTCTGCCAAGCTCCTAAATGCACCATTCAGCCTTGGATATTACTGCTGGTTTTAAGCACCTTATCTTCCTCTGCAGCTCACAAAAGAGCCAGGATACGTTTAGACTCTGTTTTATCCCTACCTACTCAGTAACACGAAAGCTTCAAAATGGCAAGATGGTTCAGGAAAGAGAGAGGTGTGCCCGCACATAGAGAAGGAACAGGGTAATGTTAACATGCTGTAAGAGCTTGATGCACTCCTGGAAAGATGAACGCAAATCTACATTCTCCCAGCATTGCTGAGACTTCAGAAACATTCAGCTTCCTCACGGCATACATATACTCATAGTGGGCACACATCTCTGCGATACACCCATAAAACTCTTGTCTTAGGTTCAGTTTGGACAGGAATTGCTGAATCCCTTCCATGGCTCACTCTCAGCAATTAAGCCCTAACTCACCGTGTCCTGAACTCCACTGTCGATTAGTCTCCATATCCTCGCCACCAGCAAACAGCCAACAGCAGTGCTGCCAAGATTTCTGCACTTGTTTCTGCCTCTTCTGTGCTGAACGTCATTCCAGTTCAGATCCATCAAACTATCCACTGCAGAAACTGAAACACCGTGGGCAGAGGAACACGCAAAATCAGAATTTCTTGGAAAAACCCCAGTCACTAAAATTGTAAATAGCTTTTTTTCTTCTTTGTATGCTATTTCCTTTGTGGATTCCACAATTTCTGATTTCCAAGCTTTAGATCAGCTTAGAGTGGAATGGATGGATTCATGCCTGAAAATGATTGAAAAATAAGGCAGTAGTTGCACAGAGAGGAGCATGACATGTAGTATTTCCAGTATGACTTGTGTTAATCAAACCAGAAATACTGTGATACCTACCAGGGTGCCAGACACTTAGCTACACAGATAGGGGGAAACAACTGAGAAAAGGGAACACCATCACACTTCTGTAGCTTTTTGATGCTGCTGTTCCCTCTCCTAACAAAAGAAAACAGAAAATGCAGAGGTGATGACAGTTAAACACTTTTTCATCCATCACAGAGATCTGGTAAAGTTTGGAGAAGCTTCTTGTTTAAGCTGAGCAGTTACTGAGACATCGTTAAGACTAATTAAAGCAACACAAAACAAACTGAAGGAAACCAAATACGCCCCAGACTTAGGAGGAAGATGATGCTATAGCTTGGCATGTTCTCACCACTGCAAACCTGAGGACAAGTAATGCACACCTTTGCCTGCATTGCCACACTACCACTCATTTTTGTCATTATTTACTATCTGTGGTCGCAAGAGGACATGTGGCCTAGTGGACCAGCCCCAGAAACGAGGCACAAGAGTGCATTGGTTTCGGAGCCAGACTCAGGGCCCATCCTCGTTTGGGAACTGAGAAAGGAGGGAGCACAGCAGTCATGAAATTCCTCCATTCCCTGTTTCAGTTGCTGCTTCTTCTTTTCATCAGCTTTCAGGGTGTACGCTGCTGTTTTGCTACTTTGCAGGCGATAGATTTCAACAGTCGGTCTTTAAAAATCCTGCACTAATAGGTAAGAGTAGAAGAGGAAGCAAACGTATGGAGGAAGCTCAGACTGATTTTTGGCAAATCCTACGCTTGATCTGTGTTGCAGTGTTGCCAGCGCTAAGTGTTCCAAAATCATACGTGATGAGGGTGGCTTAAAAATATTCAATTTGGAGTTCCTTTTTATTTGCCTTCTGGCTTAAAAATAATCAATTTGAGGTTCCTTTTATTTGCCTTTGGTTTCTTAGCCTTCAGGGTACGCTCAGATAATGTTTTCTCAGAAACCACGTGTGCTAGAAAGCTGCTTTCTCTTTTCCAAATGAAAATTACTATTTCTCAAGTCAAGTCCCAGCCCTGTGCTAAGGCTTCGTGTACCAAATAGCATGGGATGTGCAATAAACTTACGAGATTTGCAGTCCTTTATCTTGTTCCCCTCATATATTTTGTTTTGTTTGTTGTAGTCCAGGGTAGAATGACAGAGAAAGAAGGAAGTGAACAAGTTAATATGAATAAAAACACAAGAGCAGATTGTTAGGGAAGGAGGGGTAGCAACTTAATAGCTGAAATAGAAAGCAGAGAAAGGAAAGCAAGGGTGCAAACAGAGACGAAGCAGGAGCATAGCAATATTCACAATGGGGAAGATTTAGGAGGAGAAAGCAAAGCAAAGCAAACAAAATGGAAATATCATTCTGCATATACCTATCCTTTAACTGTGGCAGCTGCTTCGGGACTCTGGAAGCTATCAGGGCTATAAATAGCTATGTATCTGTCATTAATTATTTGAAGCTGTGCCAATATTGAACCAAGGATTAGCCTTGCCAAAGCAAATGGGCAGCAGTGTGTGGACTTTTGAAGACCAGGTGTTTTCGAGCTTTTAAATGCTGCACACTCACGTTGTTCTGCATATATATGTGTCTTTCGGAGGGCAAAGTTAACTTGAAATTCAGAGAACTTTAAGACTGTGGGGTTGGAAGGACATAAAGTTCTTAGGTCTGAAATTAAATCTGCAAAATTTGTTTTCTTTAGCAGGTATGTAATGCTGCTGAGGGCTGTCACAGTCTGCTTTTCCATAGCCTGAGTATTTGTGATGCCTGACTTTCAGAAGGCTTGAAGGAATAATTCAGCAAAGCATACTGAAGTCTGGCTATTTCTTCAAAGTAGAAGGTTTTTCTAATTTTTAGAACTTCTTCCCCCTTTACCCCTCTGTATATTTTTGCTAGTGTGTCTCCTGTAGCATTCCTACCCCTTTTATTTGATGTAGAGTTGTCTTTCACTGCTCTCTCTTTTATTATAATTTTTTATGTTTCTCTCACTGTCCCCAAAATCTGACATGTCCCACTTAATGTACTCCCATCTCCTTTTAATTCTGTCATTGAATTTGCAAGATTTCTGGCTATAACATGCTCTCTTTGTATCTATCTACTCTTTCTTACAGCTTCTGAAATAAGTGTGTTATGTTTAGTCCCTGTTTAGCCACTCCATGTATCCTGTGCCTCTATGGAATGAAGAGCAATTAATAAGTTATATAGTTCAGGAGGCTGGATTTACCTTTGTTGTAGCTGGTGAGTCATATTTCATCTAGGGTAAATGTCAGGATATTTTCCCTCCAGATTTCAAATGCAAAGCCCAAATTAAAAGAAGGTTAATTTTATGATCTACCTAGATAAAGTGTTTTCACTGAGGACTGAATACAAAACCAGAGAAGACTAAGGATAACCATAGAATCACTGATACAGTGACTTGAATGGGAAGATAAGACTGAACTTGTGGAACAACTCTTGATGGGTAAAGAAGGTTGAAACACTAAAAAAATAAACTTCTCTCTATTGCATTCAGAGGCACAGAATATTTGCATTTGCATTTATGTGCAGAGCTCCCATGCACTCCTCTCTCCTCCTCTAAGACTGCTTGTCTGAATAGTAAGTATTTGGCACAACAAATAGACTGAAAGAGTCCAAGAAAGGTCAGTGAGATAAAGAGAAAAGATGGATTGATAAATAAGCTATGACCATAGGCCAAGCCAGAATTAGCAGGTCTTATTTTAGGCACTATATATTGGTCAATAATTCCTTGCTGATTTAAAATTGGCTTTTAGTAAAGTAACTTGGTCAGCAATGCTTCAGCTACAGAAATTAAATTATATTTATTGTATAATTAAATAGTGGTTTATTTGTTCAAATATTTTATCAGATACCTTTCTAATTAATCTTTCTATTCCATAACCTTTTTTTTGGCAAATACTGAGCTTTAAATCTAGCTTCATTTCATGCTTTACAGTGTCTTTTTCATAGATTTATTGAAACTTATCACATGCTCATGAGGCACACAGAAAAAATATCAAAAGTTCTCCAAGTGGGAAGCCTTAGCCACAAATCTAATTTTGGAGGTATCAGCATATGATGAGGTCTGTAATATTAAATCCATGTCTGGAAATCACCTATTGCCAGGTCCTGAGTTGCAGAAATAAAGAAGCAAGGAAAATATTTCTCCTTTTTTCTCTCTCTCCCTCCCTCCATCCCTCCTTCCTTCTCAGACACCCACACGAGCACACCCACACACACACATGTGTGTGCATGCACGCACGCACGTACGCACAAAAAGCTTCTGTTTTGATTCAGTTCTCCCAGCTTCTTTGTACAATTACAAATTGCAGATGTTCCAAACTTTAGGGCAGGGTTCAATTTCATTTGCAAATGAAATATATGATTTACATATATATATAAGAAAATAAATTAGTCATATCCTCAATAGCAATATTCAACCCTGGACTGGCCTAGGAATCCAGAGTTATTACAAATTTCCTTCTACTTACAGAGCTAAAATGATCAATTCTTTCAGGACAGACAGTGTTGATTTTTCTTTCACCAAATGAGGGAGAATACTTCTTTTTTAAATGAATATTTTCATGTCAAACATATCCTGGCTACTTCTACTGCTAAGAGTGTATGTTTTGATGTCAGTTTAAATTTACCGGAACAACATATATGTTTTCATTATTTAATAACCTACTAATAATCCACTACCATTTTTGTAGCGGGTAATAAAAATTGATGGTTGCAGTGTTAGTAGCCTTGCACTTGTGGCAAGTTACCAGTTGCAATTTCTCATATTATTCAACTCAAACCCATGTGCAAGAGCTGACCAGTTCAAGGGCTGACATTAACTCATAGACTGTTGAGACCGTTTACTGATTTTGGTGCACAAATTACATTGTTGCCCAGCCCCAGTTGTCATTATAGCGCGTAGGGTGTACTTTAATAGCTGTTTAAGTGTTAGTCAGCTCCTGACGACTGGGCTTACTGCAAGGATGGAAGTGTAGTGAACTTTAGCTGTTGTGGATGGGTGATTTGGCGTGTAGTGTGATATGGTCTGAATATTGTGTATCCACTTTCCCTGACACAAACTGAGGTGTTGCACTGAAAGGGAGAAGACGCAAGTTGGTGTTCCCAAAGTATAACCTCGCCATTGTAAAATTGATGGCAGGTAAGTCTGCTGATGTAGTTACTTAGATATTTGATCTTCTTTGAAACAACATTCTCAGTATCATCATACAGCCAACCCAAGTGCCCCCTGCTCATACCTCTGAATCCCTGCTAACCATTACCTTGCACAGGACCATGACAATGGCTTTGAATCAACTGTACTTTTCTGGACCCTGTGTTGACCAGCAAATCCAGCTCTGCTTCTTCAGCCTCCCTCTCCCCACCCCCACCCTCTCTCCCCTGCAATTGTGAAGCGTCAGCATGAGACTCAGAAGCTGAAGACCTGGAGAAAGATGGAGAAAAGATGCAGGAGAAGAGATTGAGAGGAACCTGATACATTTTCTGAATAGATGGAAAGCCACACTGTGGGAAGGGATGTAGGTGGGTCATTGAGAAAACAGAAATCAGGCTTCCCCAGCCTAAGAGCTGAAGAGCTTGATCTTTTTCTTTCTATCCTCCTTCTTTCCATGCTTCAGTGCCCCAGACTCCCACCATAGCTTGGTATCATCTGCATCTGCATTATGAGCTTTTCCAATCTACTCTCTGTCATGCTAATTCCTCCAATGTTTGATCTTTGAATAAAACCCTACACATGTCATTCAGCAGCTTTGCACTCCCAGATGCTTGGTTCCACTCTCCTCAAGTACCTGCATATCTTGAGGAGATCATGGAAAGGTGTGAAAAAGACTGTGAAAACTAAGTGTGCTAAATGGAGAAAGGGAAGATGGGGAGTGTGAAAGGGTATTTGCTTCCCAAATATGAATGAGTGTTCATGACAAGAAGGACTCAAAGCTTCTTCAGCAGTATCCTTTCTCATATTCTCTATTGTCTTACCAAAAAGTTGAAGTGATTTTAGTAATTGCATGCTTGGCTTGTGAAAGGAAAGAAGGCATTTCAAAGACTGTTATCAACAGCCATGCCTTCATCTCCCTGTACTCATTTCTGCTGAGGTAGGAGACATGACAACGTTATCCTAACTTCTTCAGTGTGTTTGAGCCATGTCATTTTCCTCAAGTGGAATTAGGAAAACACAGCACTATAGAGTTTGCATAAAACTACTTAAAAATACTACTGTTGAAGTGCAAAGCACTATCAGAAGTTCTTGCATATGATTTGCAAAGTGTCCAGGCTGAAACAAACTTACATTTCATGACTATAACTTGTCTGGTCACTGTGACAGCCTGCCATGGATAAGTTTTTCTTCAGCAGAGCCCCACACTCTCTTTGCCTCAGCCATGCACTCCACCTTGAGCTCCAACTCCAGGCACAGAGGTGAAGAACTTTTTCAGTTGAGCTTCGCTGAAAGAAGCACTTGGACATATCCCCAGCATCTGAGAACCTGTAGAGTGGATAAGAGCCACAGGTTGAGCCTCATAAGCATGCAATAAATAAATTTCAGTTGAACTGGGTTGATATTGTAAAATTCTGGGATTTAGGTGGGCTGTATTTCAGAGGTCTGCTGTTTAAATGAAAAACCTGCTTTCAGGAGGCATAAAAAAAGTCAAGGCAGTTTAGTGAATATGGAGATTTTTGACCATTTAGCATCTGACTAGTTAGCTTTTAAACACCAGCTGGGCTTTCTGGCAAAGTGACCCGTCTATAACACAACATCCAGTTCCTGTGTCGCATGCAGCACTAGAGGGCAGAGCTAACAGCTAATGAGAAATTAAGGGTGCCTTAAGGTCCAGGGAACATACGTTATAATGCAGTTAAACAAACTTTTAAGAACTAGCTGGAGAAGGAGGCTGAGACACAAAAGACGAAATATTAGGTGACTGGTAAAATAAATGGTAAATTAATTACTATGCTGGAAGCATGACAAACACTACAGCCATGGCCTTGCATATTCCCCATAGCCCTGGTTGGGAGCATTTGCAGCTCTGAGAGATGCAGTTTCCAGCTTTCTTCAGGCCTCCTTCTCCTGTATTTGCAAGGGTCTGTTTGCAAACAGGAGGACTAGCCATGTCCCTTTGAAAGCCAAATCTGAGATGCTGGAGCACAATTCTGCTGCAGGAAGACAACTCCATGCAAAGTGCCACGTGCCAGAGAGGTGGCACCTTATACATTTCCTGGGGCTGGGCTCTTTCTGGCACAGGTACTCTGGCCCTGTGGTATTCCTGGGTCTTCATGCAATGGGGCTCCCAGATGGCTGGAGGGGCTCAGGGTGGGAGTGAAGCTGTGGAGATCTATGATATATGCTGAAGTTCAGCTGTTGCTTGTTGGATCGCATTGACCCTGTATGTCCAGGTGAAGCATATCTCAGAGCAATGCCTGCAGCACAGTGGGTGGTGTTGTGGGCACCCTGCTTCAGAGGAGACTCTCAGCATCAGTGAGACCCCTAGAAAGGGACTGTTTTTTCCCTGGTTGTTGCCCAGAGACCATGAGAAGATGAGTCATATCCTGTGCTTGCTCATGCCGCATGTCCCCAGTGTGAGGCAGTCAGCAGCTATCAACTAGGTAGATGCAAGTAGCCTTGAATTTAATTTAATTGCTCTTTCTAATCTAACTGAAAACCATGGCTGTGAAGGTTAGAGGGTGTGACAAAAGGAGGGTGAAACAGTGAAATGGGAGTGGTTCATCTGTAGGCTGAAGAGGGAAATCCATGCAAGGTATTAAATTCTGTCTCTACCCAGACTTCTACAGATGCTCACAGAGAATAAAAAGAAACCTTTTGGCTAAACTTGAGTACTTTTCTACACTGCTGCATAGTTTTCACCCGTTAAACTGCTTCAAGATTTAAAAAAAAAAAAAAAAGTGAAAATTATCACACACCCCCCAGCCAAATAACACCAACCAAACCGAGCCAGATGTTTGGTTTACCTCTGTTCATCAGGAAAATAATGGAGTTAATTTTGTATATCACTAATATTATGGCTGCCATTTTATAGCCGCATATCTTCATTCCTTTCTTGAGACTGCTCAGTCTTCAAGAAATGAAGTGTGAGTTTTACAGTTTACATGGCAATGATTTATATGAAGGTCGTGGCCTGTCACATGACAACGCCTGACCCCACATAACATGATGTAAGTGTAAGAATCACACTCTTTCTCAGGGTCAGTAGCACCATTACACAGGTCCCTGTGTTCAACATGCCACCCACAAAGCAGGGCATATGCCTTTTCCCTTTTCTAATTTTTTTTTTTTTTGTCAGCTCCCTGAATTACATTCAGGTAGTTCTGCACATTTCTACTTTTTCATTTAATTAGGTGCAAACACTCTGTATAAATAAAATAAAAAGTTCCCTGCAGCTAGTAGACTGTTGCAGTCTGCCAGACACCGAAAAATGTTTGTCTCTGTTACTGTTGCTTAATAATTCACATTTTATAAACAAAGAAATCTTTCTCTCCCTCTTTTTTCTTTCCCTTTTCCAGTTGGCTTTTGGGGGTTAGAAGCTTGGATACAGCTGCAGAATAAGTTTGGATCCCAGTATACAGTAGGTGTACTATCCGTGAATACAATAGGTGTACAGTACTACCAAGGTTTCCTGCCTGCCTTTCAGTCTCACAGACTCCATATCCTTTAGGAGATGTCGGTCACTGCAGTGCTTGTATGTAAATGCTATATCGTCTGGTAGGTATTTCAGATCCCTTTACATGGTGCTTGGCGAGCTGAGCCATAATTCCTTATGTCCTGTTTCTAGCAGCAGCTCGAGTCATAGACATCCCCCATAATAATGATCTTTAAAGAAACTTAGGTTGATTTACTAAGAGTATATCAGAATGGTGCATAAAGTTGATTATCTCCATATATATGTAAAGAGAGAGAGAGTCTGAAGAGGTTGTGCAGCGTTACAAGTTGATGTGTTAGGAAGCTGCAGAACCCAAATCCTCTTGGTTTCCACAGTTCTCACCACTGTCACTCGGAGCAGCCATTGCCAACATGTCTGGCCTGTAGCAAATCAAGTGTTTCATGACATTTATATATATCAGCTGGTATCTGAAAGGCTGGGTGTGATAACTCATACCTGGGCATAGATCACCACAAATGGTTACGGAGTTATCCAGAAGTGCCATCTTTTTATGCAGGCTCTGCAGCTGAGTGTAGGACACATAGCGAGCTGTATGACTTAGTTATTTCTGTATTTATCTCCTCTCAACTTTGTCAAGAGACAGTACTTCAGAAGTTCCAGACTGTATGATAAATTCTGGTAATCATGCTGGTTAGAGCAATTTAGCTACCACCTTGCTCACATATTAATGTAGATCTTTTCTATTAAAAAAAAAATAAATTTAGAATAAGTAAACCTAAAGCCTATATTCCATTTAAATTCAGTAATTTAAGCTAAATCATGCAAACCATCAACATCTGAAGCTATTTCATTATGTGGAGAAACAAGTTAAACAGAATCTCATACTTTAGTGACAGAGAAGAGAGGTATCTTCTTCTGAACAGAAGCTTTATTTCTATTGTGCTTTATTCTGATATGAAAAGTGACCTTTCCTATGACTTTCTAGTGTTCTTCAAAGGCCAGATTTTTTGCCAGCTGCAGCACTTTAACAAGTCTGCCAACATCTGCTCAGCTTGGCTTGAGATAGAAACTGCTTCTGAGAGTGTCTGTTTGCTCAAGGCCTCAGGATCCTAGGTCTTTATCTTGCAAAAGCTTAAGATCATGTGTTAGAATTTGCAGAATTGGAGCTTTTACATCTATAAAGTTTATAGCATATAAATTTTTAATGACAAAAAGTAAATACTCCTAGTGGTAGATATGAAGAGGTCAAACACAATAATCTCTGTTGTGAATACACATGGTTCCTGTTTTCAAATGTGTCTTTGTCCACTTGTATTTCTTTTAGGTGTTTTATTTAGTATTAAAAATCCACTCTAACTTGAATGACATATTCCAGATGTAAATGTATATAGATGCTCTTCAGGTACTAGATGCCCGAACCATTTTTCTGTGCTTCACAGCACATGAGTGGTTTGTGTGTGTACATTCATATGTGTACGTATGTACTTTTGGCCCAGTGCCTTCACATGTCTTACTCCCTGTGTAAAAGTTTGCATATAGTGAAGCGCTATTTTATAAAATATCACCGTTGGCACATTCACTACTCCCAAGGAGGGCATGATCTATGAGTTGTGTAAAGCCGCACGTACAATTAATCTTTTGTAATGTGTCATAATACATTGTACATCACACACTGAATAGTTTGACAAATGTGTTACTGTAGTGCTATGAATGCCAGAGGTTCTGAGCAAAAGGTTATATCTGTTTCTAACCATTTTAACTTCCAGATCTCATTCTGAGTTTTTGGTTCCAAGAAGCCCAAAATCTAAAGGCAGGATTTTTGCCTGGTTAATGTTGATTTCAATACAAACCAATGCATACATCATTTCAGTAGAAAACCTAATCTGCTTAGCTTTATGTAAATCTTCCAAAATACACTAGAAACGGGGATTTTTGATGATAGAAATATTAGATTGGAAGGACAACTGTTTGGCAGTGAGGTACTTACCTTCCAGGAATTAATAACTGGTGAGTGTCCTTACCTTTCCACACTTACAGACTTTACAGTCGAGATAGGATGACAAGAAGCCAAGTCATTCTATGAATTGTTCATGCCTTCAGAAAGGAACACATCCTGTGGTCTGCTGCAATTCTTTAAAATCAGTAAGATGTGCTACTCAAGAATACAAGCTGAGATTTTCCAAGACAGGAGCCAGAGTGGCAACATGCCTTTACATGTATCAACACAAGGAAATGATCCAATTATAGAAAAACTAATCCAACAGACCTTTGGAATTTTAGATGGAAATCCGGAAGATACTGTCCTTTCCTCCAACTGCTTTGGTCAAACTCTTGAGGACAGCAAAGAGCCAACAAAGTCATTAGCCTTATGACAAGTGTCAAGGAAACCTGGAGCTATTGCTGTGATCATGTCAAGTCTCTGTCTTGCTGTAATTACTTACTCAATTTCATGGAATCTCTTTGGTATCTCACTAAAAGCATGTCTCATCTTTTTATGTCCACTGATTTTTAAAATGGGGGTGGAACTATTGGCATAGAGGGTTAAAACTGCATTTTGTGCCATTAGTTATGTCACTAGTGAAAGAAACGCAAATAAATTCAAAGAATGCTACAATTTACTGTTCCCTTTTCTGTCATGTTGTATGTTAATTTTTGTTCTCCAGAACACACAGTTTTCATCAAAATGAAATGTAGTTACTCAGTTACATTACATCAACCATCCCATGTTAAGGATGGAGTGAGCAAGAGACTGCCCATCCTTCTAGGTCTGGAGGTGTTCCTTACAAGTTAGGCTGGCGAGGCAATGCGATGAAACCTGCTGCTACCCCTATTCTTTGGAGAAACTGAAAGTGCAAAGCTGTCTGAAAGCATTTAGCATGTACATTCACATGCCATGCATGAGTATAAAGAAGGGGAAGAAGGCTATGATTCTTGAAAAGTCAACAGGTTCAGAGCATTATTTACCTGGATTCATCAAATGAGGGTATTTTTAAAGCTTCCAGTATTGTGGTGGAATTGCTTCCTTGAATATCATCTACAGAAGTTCCTCATCTTGAGTCATTTCCGTCAGACTGAAACCACCATTGGGCAGGTTCGTCGTTAGCAGAAGATGCCTGCAGCTGCCTACCAGCACCTTGCCATGTAGGGCACCAGGGCCTCTGGCAGTGAGGAGGGTCAGGTCCTTACTTCTGTTCCTGGTGGCTCAGAGTTTTTAGCAGACTGAGCGCTTTTTGCCCAGCTTTGAATTTCTAAGGGAAAAAATTTTAAGAAGCTGAAATAAAAGCAAAATAGGATGGGAATATGAAAACAACATTTCTGAGCCCTGCTCAGTTCCAACAGCAACACAAAACTATTCCATTTATATATTTAGCGAAATAAATCCTGGCATCACCACCAATATGTTTCCTCTTATTGTGGGAGTTTCTTTTGAGTTGTGTTGAGACAAATATAGGACGAATGAGAATAAGGGACAGATGTCAGTGCTGTAAATGCTATTGGGAGCTGGAAACTCCTTTCATCAGCTGCTTTCAGAACGTTCAAACCTGACCAGCACCATTCATCTGGGCCAGAAGTGCTGACAGAGACCAGCTGACAGACTCCCACTTCGACCTTCAGTTCTTCATGCCCATTCCGACGCTGGGATCTGAAATAGCAGGATTAACTCATCCCAACCCCAACCTTCAGGGAAGCTTCTCTGCCAGGGTCCCGTGCCCTTTGCCGCATTTCCTCAGCCCTTACCTGAAACCCATCACTCTTGCTGCAGCAGCCCCTGACCTGCCACCATCAGCAGTGTGCCTCTGGCTGATTTCATGTTGCAGAGAGAAAACACTCCCCATGTCTGAATCCATCCCACCGGAGAAGCACAGCTAAGCCCACAAACTCACCATGTACCAGCGCCAGCTATCTAGCTGTCCTTCTCCTGTCAGCCAGGGGTTTCTTCTGCTCATCGCTTGTCCTTTCCCCCACCCTTTTCTCTCCCTCCTGGCTTTTACGTTTCTTCCACGGTGATCCATTAGGTATTTACCGACAGGGTAATGTAACTTTTCACACCGGCTCTCTGCGTGCACTGCCCTGCAGACTGGGCTGGATAAAGCCTCTCCCCAACCCCAGCTGGCTGGACATCTCCCCCCCCACCTTCCCCTCCCCTTCACACTAGCCAAGCCAAGGATTCCTCTCTCCCTCCCTCTTTCTTTTTCCACCCCTCCCGCCTTCAGTGTAAACCCAAGACGCAGGATCCTGCCGAGGGAAAGTGCTCCTTGAAATCATCACCACAGACCCCGCTGTGAAAGTGCAGAGGAGGAGGGAGAAAAAGCCTCGGCAGCCAACCTCCTGCTGCTGAAGGCTTTGCAAGCAGGGCAATGGCTTCAGGCTCTCAGAGATTTTCTCTCACCTTTCTCCAGGGCGTGGGATCTGTCTTCTTCATCCTTCAGATCATCTCTGTTCAGGCTGATGGTGAGTCCCCAATTCAGTTTGGCTGAGTTGCTATGGCTGGAATGAGAGCTGTATGTTGAAATGTGTTATTGCAAAGAAAAAAAAAAAAAGACCCAACAAAAAAAAACCAACTTTTTTTTTTTTTTTTTTTTTTTTTCAATAAGAAACTTAAATACACGCCCCAGTTTGGGTTAGGAAACGTCTGATTCAGAGGTTTTTGAGACTCTACAAATATCCTGGGGTTAAGCAGAGAAAGGAAATAAGATCCCAGAAGGCTAAGATTATTTTATTATAACAAAACGACAGAATAGTGAACTTTTCCAGAGGAAATAAGAATAATAAAACAAAGTCAGAACACAAATAAGAAGACTCAGCTATATTTCAGGAGTGTGCTCCTTATAATTAAAAGTATCTTTTCTCCAAAGAACTTCCCCGTCTGCTCACTTCAGATGTCCCCCAACGTCAATTTATACGGGCAGGTACTTGAGGAAGGGCAGACAAGAAGTCAAAGGCTTTTATAACCTTTTCTGTTCAGTACCACACATGCAGAGGATGACTGCTCACCTTTCTGCATGTGAGTTTCGTCTGCACTTCATTGCTGAGGGACATGATCAGGACATGAATTTGGCTGAAGCACCAGCTATCAGTTACTCTGAAATGGGACTTTTTTACTTGCTGAAGATAATCCTGAATAGCTGCATCACTTGAAAGTTTCCAGTAGCCTATTGCCCTTTTTAATGATTAAGCCTGTAGTAATGATGAACAACTTGCCTTAGCAAAAACATGATTTATTTTTGAAACAACTGTGTCTTTTCCTGGGAGAGCAATGCTGAATGGCCACATTTTTTCACTCTCACAGCTGCAATAGATTTATGCCTGATCTCAGGATTTTTTTTTATTTCGATACACTAATCATTTACCACTTATGTTTGCTGCATTATTCCAGAGAACAGATCTTAAACATCGTAGGGCAATAAAAACATCTTCTTTTTGTTCTCAGAGTATTTTTCCTCTTTAATCTAAATTTATTTTAGCTTGATGACAGAGTTTGGCAAAGGAAAAGGAGAAAAATAATCTTGCCTGCATGTTTCTACCACTTTGTGTGAAATACCATTTATACAACAGAAGCCTGTCTTGTAAATGTGAAGAAAATTACTTTTCATTAAGAATAAAGGAAGAGAAATGTGTCAGGCAACTGCACTGTGTTGCAGTAGGCAAAACTGCGATTCTGATTTTTGGAAATACTCCTTCCCTAGCAAAATGCCTCTGAAATGAGGAAAAAAAAATGCATACCCATGAAAGAGGGTTCTCCACAGAACTTAAGAAAAGATAACAGGACAGGAATAATCAATTTCCTTTGCTAAGAATGCTTCATCTGAAGAATTCCCTTACATTTTCAAGAGCACCTTCCAATTTGTGTAATTTCTATAGAATTAATGACATCTTCTTGTTTCCTAAACAGAGAAAGGGAAAAAAAATGTTGGAGATCATTTTAAGGCAGAGTTTGTGACAAATTTTAATTGCCATTCAACAATTTGTCAAATTTACTTCACACATGGTATGGCAATTATAAGAATTAAAGGGTAAAATATCTGAAGTACATTACAGCTGTAGAGCATTATTATAATGCCGTAGTTTCAAATTTTTTTTTTTAACTTCTAAGTATCATTGTGAAAGATGTGCAAGTCCTCTATTAACATGCTCTTCAGTGTGTTCTCCTAATATTAATATTCAAGCAGACAACTGTAATGCTGTCCTATAAACCATCTGGCTTATTATACACTGATACAGAAGGAAACACAATGTGAACTTTAAAATTTACCGCTACATGTAGGCTTCTTCTTAAGAACATCTGAGAGTATGAAACAGGATTAATGCTTTGTTTTATAACAGGTTCTGGTCTGATCCAGACAGGAAACCACCTTCTCTTTTGTTTAAATTGTAGGTGAAGTACAATTGTGCTACTCTCTCAATACATGCAAATGTCACTTAAGTGCCAAGAGACCATATGTGTCTGGGTGACACATATGTATGTATTTGTTATGTGTATTAGTTACTTTTAACTGAAAGTAACTGACTGTTTTGCAAACAACTGAATGGATTTTGAACTCACCTTGTAAAAATCCTGTGAAATTCAGACTGGCCCCTGTTACAGGCAAACCTCTGAAACCGGTTACAATATATTTCCCTAAGGCAGACTTTTGCTTTATTATCTCGCACACAAATAATGACAGAGAACAGCCATAAAACCAGACCATTGAGGTCTGGTGAAGGCGTAAAGCCTCGAAGCTGGATTGATCTCTTTTGACTAGTATCTACCATGGCACGCATTGCTGTAGCGCGGTTAGACTCCAGAAAGACCAAGGTAAATGCTGAAATAAAAGATGGCTTTGTTTCGCTTTGCAGTTTTTTTACGATTGAGATGTGCTTGCTCATAGCCATTGAGGTCGGGGTCAGATGGACAGAAGGCTCCTCAAGGGCTTGTTCCTGCTCTGACATACCATGGTGTGCCACTGCTGTTAGTGCAGTTACTGGAGAATAATATAGGTTGTCATGACAATATAGGTTGTTGTGACAGGTCTCAATCATACCAGAGCAAATGCAGGCTTTTAAAAATTTCTTTGCATTTGCGCTGAATAGGACAACAAAGATGCGGCTTCACGCATACTGCACAGGAGTCACCTCTGCTTTTTTTGACTCCCTCTTCTGTCTTTTCATGGCTGCTAAAATATCCATACATATGAACCATAGGTTTCTGCAGAGTACTTGCTCTGAGACAGAGCTTGTCAGGAGAGAATGATGGTGATTAATCTAAGACACTCCTGAATTGACAAAAATGTGCTAGTTGCGAAACTTTACTGATCAATCCAGAGTGGAGTTGGTCTGTTGGCTAAATTTGCGTTACCTGGAAGATCTATTGGTCAAACCAGTCATCTGGTAGTGACCATGTGTGGTGACTGCAGAGGTTGCAAGTGGAAGGATCCTGAATCCAAAAAGCTAGGCACAATTAGGTGAGGATTTGAGATACATACTTCTGACCTAGAACCAGATGTGTCTGATGTGAAAGGTAGGGAAAAAAACATACTATGCTCTCCTTTGGCTTCCTTTGCACCTTTTTTTGTAAAGAAAAGGCAAAAAGTATGCTTTTTCTCTTCTCTGTCTAGACACTTGCATTTGAATAGCAGGTGTCTAAGCATTACAGGCTCCCTCTTGCAAAACATATTCTTGTATGTTACAAAAATAAATGCATAAATGATTCCAACTATTTGATCCTAAAGCATGTAGTAGAATTAAAGTTTAAGCTCAAACTGAATTTAGCTGAAGAGAAACTCAAAGGTGACCCCCCCCAATTTTGCTAGTTTTCTGATGATGTAATACTTTAAGCGATTTGAATTAAATAAGACATCATTCACTTTAGTTTCTTGCAGAAATAAACTCTACATTCATGAACACTAAGCAGAACTGGTAATTGCCCCAATCTCTTGTCTGTAGTTGTACAGTTTTACTGAATCCTCCACCCTTACTAATACAATCAAGGCCATTGTTGCATACAGCCATAGAAATGGAAATGAAATTGCTCTTGAAGTACAGAAGCGACCTACCCTTCCTCTTCTCTCTTCTACCTCAATTTGAAGTTTTTAACATTTAAGTAAAAAAAAATTAGACTACACATTTGCACATCTTTCACCACATTTATTTTGTTGAAACTGTTTAGGTTTTATCCTTTGAACTAGTAAGTATCATGTCATGAGATCAGCACACTGGGCATGTCTTTTAAAGTACTTTGATTTTATATTATTTGTGAGAGACATTTTTATTTCAAAGTATATATTATTATGCAGTTTTATGTTTCTTCTTCAAGCATGATGCAAATCCTGCTGAAGACATGGAGGTCTTTGAACTCATTTCAGTGGGCTGTGAACTGTGCCTATACACCTCAGAAGAGCTCCTTTTTTTATCTGTTACTGCATTAGAATAAATTAGCCAAATTCTGTCTTGGCAACAAAGAAAATTCTTCTAATTCCACAGAGTTTCCTAAAAGTATGAAGAAACAGGTTTTGGACTGGTTTTATTTTTGAAGAGTCCCTTTTTTGAGCTTCCATATCTCTGATTGTAGACAACTCTTCAGTCTTGAAAGCATAATAAGGTCTAATTAGAAGCTGAGTTTAACGAAGTTCGAAACTGCAAATGAGGTGGAGTGAGAGTAATGAGCCACTGGAACAGTTTACTATAAAGTGTGCTGTAAAGTCTCCGTTACTTGGAGTCATTAAATCATGACTGGATGCCCTTTGAAAAGACATGGTCTAGTTCAACCATGAATTTTTGGACTTGATGGTGGAATTACTTGGGGGAAAACTACAGTCTAATTATGCAGGAATTAAACAAAGTGATAAAAATAAATCCTCTAAACTCTGAGATCTATGCTTCTATGGGTATGTTTTCAATCAGAATATATTGTGGTACTCTTAAGTAAAAACTATATTCAGCTCTTGCCTGTTCACAAAGTTTTAGTGACAATAATAAAAATTATTCTTTTATCAATGTATCAAAATACAATCAATATTCTGCAATAATAGTGTTCAGGTGATGGTAGAGGCTCGAGATATAATGCAGGCTA